TGAGCATCCTTCTGATTGATTATTATCTTATTTTACAAATCGCAAAGGTTCAGTCCTGACAGGAGAGGGCCCGCGTGGGTTTCCTCACTGCAAGACTCACTAATTACATTGTTTTCCATCGAGAAGCGAAGCTAATTTGTGAGTACTACTCCGCAGCTTTGTTTATGTCATTACAGTTTTTTTAAGGCATCCAGATACTTAAAGCAGCTACACAGAAGACCATTGCCTAATTGTTTCATCATGATGTGTTTATTCATATTTAATGTAGAACCATTTTCTCCTGCAAAAACATGGTCATTAGCGGCAGAGCTTCACAAAGAAATAAATACGCAGATTTGTTGGGAGTGCTTAAATCTCTCAAAGAGAATCTAATATCACGTTATCAGCGGTGACTTCAGGCGTGTTTGCAGTTAGCGGAGCAACACATGAGCCGACGAGCTATTGTTGTGCTCTCTTTGTTTTGGAACAAAGTTTTGTAAAATAACCTTCAGAACATAAGTAACAACTCCGTTTTCAAACCTAAACACATTAAATATGCTTCCTTTGATCAAGCAAATGTTTCTGGTTTTGCTTACAGTGAAATGCCTCCCTGTAGAGGAATGTTAAAACACAACAAAACAAAACTAGCAGCAAAACTGAGCATAGAAAAACAAAGTGGTGCAACTTTCAGCCGCACTGAGGCCTCTAGTGGCAGCTGAAGGCAACATCCTGCCAACTGAAAGTTACCATGTTGGACTTAGACCTCAGTCTGTTGTCAGAATAATGCCTGCTAATGCCTAATGTGAATAATTTCTGTGTATTGATGTTTTTTTTTGTGGTTTTATATGCCGCTAATGCCGTACTCCACTAACTCCATGTGCATTGTAGATCTACTTCTTGTGTTATCCTTGATTCAGATGCAGATTCGGGGGGGGGGGGGTTACACTGTATATATATAACATAAAGAAATTATGTATAAATATAAAAACTAGGGCTGTCAATTGATTAAAATATTTAATCATGATTAATGTATCAAGGGTAACGCAATTCACATCGCCATTCTTTCATTTTCTGTAACCGCTTATGTTGTTAAGGGTCGCAGGGGAGCTGGAGCCTATCCCAGCTAACACTGAGCAAGAGGCAGGGTACACCCTGGACAGGTCGCCAGAGGGCTGACACATAGAGACAGACAACCATTCACACTCACATTCACACCTACAGACAATTTAGAGTCATCAATTAACCTGCATGCCTTTGGACTGTGGGAGGAAGCTGGAGTACCCAAAGACAACCCACGCTCCCCCACCCTGGGTTCGAACCACCCACCCTGAGTCCAAACCAGGAACTCTCTTGCTGTGAGGCGACAATGCTAACCACTGCACCACCGTGCCGCCAAGGTTACTCAATTCACATTGCCAGTAAATGCAAATAACTTTGGTCTTGCCAATAGAATCATGTGGCAGGGCTTCAAAGCTGAACTTGCCATACGACAAAAGCCTTTCTTCATCCATGTCTGCTCACGGAGGTTTGTTTCTGCTTGCCATCCATAATGTTACTGCTGCATTGCTCCCTGATTTCCCACACGGGTGGGCCAAGGGTCATAAATACAGAGGGTACGTGCATTAATCGCACGTCACAAAAATAAAAGGAATTTGCGTGAACTCATTTTTAACATGTTAACTTTGACAGCCCAAAAAAAAACATAAGAAAAACAAGAAATAAGAAATATAATACATGCATCCTGCTATACTGGAAGTGTGTTAAATATAAACACTAGAACAATATTCTTTTAATTGTGCTGTTGAAACCAGGTGTCTATAAAAAAGTTTATTTTCAAATAAAACAAACCAAAAAATGGGGGGTTTAAGGACGATTCTGATTTGATGGTCAACTTCACATTCTGATATGCACTGTACATACAGTACATGTGGGCATAGCATCTCAGTGGGTGCAAAGTACAGTTTCATGTACAGTCTTACACTTGTACGTACTTCTGATTTCTAAATCTTTAATGGAAGCGTTAAGATAACAGAACAGTTTCCAGTTGTCACACACGCACCACGGTGCTTTCTAAACTCATCAGGTTAGAGTAATTGTAAGACGCTAAATTGCATCTGACTTTCTATTTGTAATTATTGTGATGTTGAGAGGGCACGGGGGGGCATTTTATTTTCTGTCTGATGATTGAATTCCTGCCTCTCTCCTGCGCTGAGTTGTATTTTGATGCGTGACCACGGGCTTTGTGGTTTTCCAAGCCTCATGGGACCAATTCCCATTATTTACTTGACTGTGACCCCGTATCGTGACCCCTCAAGTCTCTCATTCTCCAGAAGCCTACTTTTAAATTGCCCATCTAATGGCAACCTGCATTTTTACTGAACTGTAATGAATGCTCCAATTACACTGAAGGTGATGGAGGCGATTTTCCTATGATAGAGGGGGTGATTGGATCTCCCACACTCCATTTCACTATCTCTCTGCTCTTCAGGCATTCCCACAGACCTGTGGTCAGCACTAGCTGTTGGGGAGGAAACTAAGCCTCCACTTGTGGTAATGCACCCTCTCAGTGCACTGCCAAGCCGTGCACCAATGAGGTGACTGCAAAATTAAGTGCTTGAAATAAATGAATTCATTCTGGCAGAAATGTGTCAAATGACCTTTCCGCTGCTCATTACACATGGTGCACATTACACCAGAGAAATGCTCCTGTTGTCTGGGCTCCTTTGTTTCTCCCCCCCTCCCCTCTGCCTTGTCAAAGGGGAATGGTAATTAATTGAAATCATTTCCATGTGTAAGGTTGTGTAGATCCCTCCTCAAGGTGTGTCAATGGGTCGATAGATATTTGGAGTGTATAGCAGAGTCAGGTGATAAGAACTCCAGTCATACTGTGCTAAATGACTGCCAAAGCTCCATAAAACCAATTCAAGGGCAGAGGAGTTTGAGGGCAGGAAGTAACAGAAAGAGAGGCGCGTTGGGGAGGGGAGGGGGGCATTGTCCCCAGTGGACGATGTTCTGACAGCAGTGACGATGGTCACTATCCACAGGAATTGAAATGTTTTGGATCACTCAAGGCTGGGCACATTTTTCATTTTCCAGCCTTTTTTTCCCTCTGATTAAAAGGTTGTTTGTGAGAACTGAACAGTCTCTCCTTCGAAGTGGTATCCTCCTGCTTGACTGAATGCGGGGCATTTCACCCAGCTCTGTGCACAAGAGAGGAGAGCTTATCCTAATGCAGAGGCTGCCTGTCTGCCTGCCAAGAAGAGATGTGGCTTTAAGAGGCCCATACATGGTGTTGATTAGTTTTACTGAGCGGGTATGCAGAGACCAATAAATTAAATATGAATAAATTAAAAATGTACTCTAGCAGAAAATTGCTTTGAAAACAACCACCTCCCCATTAAAATATGTATAGTAATGCCTTTTATGTGAAGTAACTTGGGATTAGATATCACTGTAAATTAACACGCCACCCAACCGTAGTCAAGAACTTTTCACTTTTAACAAGGACTTATAAAAGAGGTATTTACTCCAGTGTGTTCGGTAATTAATTTGATATTCAAATGAGCTTACAGTATGTATTATAATTGCAAATATCCCAAATAAGAGTAGTTTTAAAAAGGGGTAGTGTCAACAAAGATTGATGAGGCTTCCTTTGAAATTACCATCTGTTTCAAATGTTTACTTGAGGCGGGGTCCCCCCCTCTTCTGTGGAAATAGAGGCATCATGGTTTCCTCCCGCCATTTGGCCGTATGTATCTGTTAAATTTTTCTTTGGGGGGGAGGAGGTGGTGGAGGACACATGAGCACACAGACACACGCGTCTCCACACACAACGTAAACATTGAAGGGGATCAGGAACATCAGCATGTGTGATGAGCTCCCACAGATAACGTCTCCGCAACATTTCCATGACATTGTAGCTGTGTTACCTCATTACCACAATGTCACAGCAGCAGTGTGAGGATGTTGTGTTTGGGGTGAGGATGGAGGGGAGTACCGTGGGAGGGTGGGGGTTCAGCTGCAGGTATCGGGCCTCTGCAGATGAGCTGATTAATTAAAGGGAGCTCTATTAAGGTTATTGAGATGCACCCCCCTTCCCTCGCCAAGCAGCCCCCTCCACGCTCCTCAGTGGTTAAAGGTGGATGGAGCAGAGGGGGGGCCGAGGGAGGGGAAGCATCCTTGCCTCTTTTGACATTAGCCCGCGCGCACCCACTTCACACACCCCACGACTCTCGCCACAAGTGCCTCTCTGCACCCCACCTTTGCAGGAGTGACACTCTCTTCAGGCTCCAAAATGGGGCTGCAGAGTTTTAATCCCTCCAGCCCGTCAACCTACCCACCCTTACTTCCATCTGTCAGGAGCACTGCTGGAGGAAAGGGGGGGGGGGGGGGGGGGTTGGGGAGGCGCATCCCTTGTTCCATCCCAACGAATTTTCTAATTTCCTTTGCCTCCATGCTTTGTCCCAAATTCACGCCCCTAACCTATCCACCATACAGACCCTCTGGTCCTGTGCCCCCTCCCCTCCCACCTCTGTTCTCTGTTGTTTCAGCCAAAGGAATAAAAATAAAACTGGAGGCTCCTTTTGGCTTTCAACAACGCAAACTGTCAATATTTTAGCTGCATCTGACCCTACTGTCATCATATATGAAAATACTGATGCTTCCACATTTACCTGATGTGTTACAGTCTCTTTAAATTTGTTCCACCCTGACTCATGAACAAGCACTCCTGTAATTTGCTGTAGGTCATATTCTGCTGAGATTTTTTTTTTCTTTACGTTTCCCTATAATTAATCAAAAGTCTGGCAGCAGACAATGAGGACCATATGCTCAAATCCCATCTCCTCTTCTGACAAAAATTAGCCATACATGAGGTTGTCTAAACAGACCTCCAGTGTGGTAGTCTAAAGGGAAAAGAGGGCGAGCTAAGACGAATCATCGTTGTGTGTTTTTCTTTTTTTAAATTTCTCAAATTATCCCCAACATCACATTTTGTGACTAAGACAGCACCCCAAAAGAAGCATGTTTAAACCATTTATTTTGACCATGAAGACATAACCACACAACATATTAATTAGCGACACGTTACATGGACATCACAGTTTTAATGGGCAGTGACTCAAGCAATCAATTCTAATTACACATCTTCATGCACAAAACTAGGTAGTAAGGCTTTAGGGATAGCACTCTCCTGTCAGATTAACTCCAGGAAATGAATTCAGCAACTTACTACAGCTCCATCTGCTGTTTATACCAGTCTGAGTAAACCAAAGGCAGACAGTGTGTCAATAATGTTGCAGTAATGTTGCAGTCTTTTGGCAAGCAGCTTCAATCAAAGATAAGTCATGTGCCGTTTGTACATTCTTAATCTCACAGTTAAAATTAATCTAAAAAACAAAAGCTGTGTGTATCTACTCACTACGTTAAGAAACATCACCCGAGATCAGTGTGTCTACCTGGACTGAGGTTAACATACTGCGTCCGCACTAATAAGACAATTACCTCTTCCCTGCAATGTAGAAATACCTTTTGAAAACAGTTACAACAGTTGCACGCTACATTCACACAGACACACTAAAACACAGAGCCTGTGCATAAGCACGGAGCCCCATTGTTGGCACTCATTCACTTCAAGATGCAAATGGGTGGATTTGAAATTCAGCCTCTGTGTGTTATGCTTGGCTACTTTAATGTTGTATCTATGCCGGGGATTATTCTCTCTACAGCGGAAAAAACCTGTGCTTGAATGGCAGTGCCCTCAAAGTAGCTTCTACTGCTTTCAATGGCCTCCAAACGAGATTAGACCCGTGGCTGCCCTCAGTCCCAATCCTCTGCATTCAGATGGAGCGTAACCAGCCTGTGTGACGGTTTTTCTGTTTTGACACTGAGTGGGTGCAGTCACTGCATATAGGGCGTTTTGGAATTGAGAGGTCAGAGCTGAAAAAAAGGAAATCCCTAATGCTCACTTTGGCGTTATGAAATGATATCCAATAAAATCTCTTGTGCTCTGTATGTGTGTTCTCTGCAATTTAGCATGTAAAATAGCTGTGCAACTGTTTTATATTTGGCACATTATAAGTCTTATTTCTGTACTGTTTATGTATATAGACATATACCCTATGTATTCGAAATATTCCCTTGCTTCTTTTACTAATTTAAAAACAGCTTCAACACATTTCTGAAAAGAAATCTAATTTTGTTGGAATCATTTTGTACATTTATTTTTATAAATGTGTCTGCTTGGATGTTAAAAATATTACACCTGATTATTACATCCCTCTCGACCTCCAGCCGATTATTATTTTTACCCAATGTCACTTTTCACGTAAGAGACTTAATCATTTCTATATGGAAAAAGGTGTACATTCACACATTCACAGTGTATACAAATAAAGCGATGACATTCGGAATGAAAAGATATGCAGCTAGGTAGTGAGGCAATTATTAAGTAACAGTTTTATTAAGGAATCCGCTGTCCATGGTGGCTCTCTTTACTTAACTAACTCTAGGTCGAGGCTTTTTAATAAAAGCCTTCAATCAGATGCTACCAGTAATATCTGTAAAAAAAAAAAAAAAAACGAATTTAATCTCTGTTTGCTGGCCACTATTAAAAAAGTGTGAGTCTGTATTTGGGCTGCATGACGTTCTCAAACAGTTGGCTGTGCAACAGTAAGCATTTGTCCAGCAGTTTGGCCCCAGCCCGGGGAACACCTCAGACCGGGGCACTTTCCTTTGGCACGAGGCGCTGCTGAGGCTGGACCCTCATCTGCAGCTGTCTTGGACTCCTTGTATTATTTTCACACCTGCATATGAGTCCTGTTTATTTGACACTGCTGTCGCTGCTCAGTCTCTGGTCATCACCATAAAGGTCGCACCATTCACAGCAGTTTCATTCACATCGCTGCTACATCACAGAATTACATTAAATAAACAGAAGTGTATTCAAGTGTACATCCACATCTTCTAGCTTAGTTTTTCTCTGTCATCTGCTCACTGTCCTTTCCTTCCCACTTGTCTGTTCCCTTTAACTTATTTTCCAGTGGTATGGCTCATTTTTTAGTTAGGGGTTTAGAGTTTGCGGGGAGCAGTCCTACTTTTACTGGAGGTAGAAGGTCTCTGGTCATCTGCCTTGCTGAGCTTAGAGGCTGGTTTCTGTCCTGCGCTGACGTCCTTCTTGTCCCGAGGCCTGAGCTGCTTTGCACTCGGCTGTGTTGAGGGTTTCACGCTTGCATGAGACTGCAGGGATAAGATTCATATTCTTATTACATAACAGAATTAAATATCACATCCATTTTAAAACATCTGCATGGCTACACCTTTATTAGCATCTTCTGTAACAGGTGAATCTGGCACCATCTAGTGGTGACTGAATATGATAGGCAATTACAAGCTCAAAGGCAGTTAAATAGGAAAGCTTGTGTTTAAAATCCAACATGTACAGCTGTAGATATTTGTAGTTTTTAAATTTAGATCAAAACCTTCAAAATTAAAAACTACAGGATATAAGAAGTGGTGCTGGGAATATTTTCAAAACCTATAATATAAAGAACAGATTGAAGCTGAACTGTAAAGGCCCAGACTTGTAGGAGGTTCAACAAACCTGTGTGGTGGAGAGTTGTTTAGAGTTGTTTTTGCACTTGTCCAGCTGGAGGCCGCCACCACGCTCTTTAGTCTTTATTCCAAGATATAAGGAGAACCCAAAGGGAAAGATGAGAGATCGATACCTGTACTCCATGACTGTACCTAGCAACTGGGGGCTGACCTACAGAGTGGTGGTTTACTTTAAAGGTACCAGTTTTGCCTCTAAACACTTTGAGATTCACGTAATTGCTACTTGGATATTGACATGAATGATATCTAAAAATCAAAAACTGATACATAGAGTAACTTTTAAGAACACAGCATCAGGACCCCCCCAAAAAATGTATGTTAATAATTGCCCACTGTAATGTAAAACCATGAGCAGCTTTAGGGAGTGTGGGAGTTTTAAGTACCTAACCAAGTGCCTTTGCAAAATCTAATCATAAGTGAGGTTATCTTAACGTTCTCCTATGTTTTTCAATGTGTCCTTATTAGATGATTTGGACCATACCACCCATGTGAGCTCTGCAAGCTGGTGACTAAATAATTTTAATAGGAATATTGGTTTAAAACCTCAACCACTTTTTAAAACAGTTTTGCTGTAAAGTGCTGAGTTATCTATTTAAAGCTGGCAGAGGCTGTTTTACTTTGCTGTCATTTGGGCAAAAAAATCCCACAATAAACTTTGAGCAGTTTGTAATTCAAGTGAACTGAGAGACAAAGAAACACGGCCTAGATTTAGAAAATCTAGGCCGTGACAGGGGACTTTAGCCAGTCACAGTTCATTTCAGTGAGAGCACGTTCCTATTGGCTGTTATACAAATCGAGCATGGCCTTAGTTCAGGCAGGACATGATGTCAAGCTCAGCTCACTATATCACTATTTAAACTGCTCTGGCCTTCCTACTGTTGCTGCTTCCTCTGCAAGCTGCTTTGCAACCCACCTCCACCCCAGCTCCTCCTTTTCATGCTGTGTCTGACTTATAGATGTCCTTTCTGTTTGTCATTGATGCTGCTCTGTTCTGTTCCTCGGGGAATCTTTGCTGCTGCTCTCCCTGCCTTAGGTTTCCATGTAGGCGCATGGAAGGGCAGGGAGGTTTTCTCTCCCTGCCTTAGGCTTTCCTCATTTGCACGTGGAAGGGCAGAGAGGTGTGCTCTATTTGCCTTAAGGCTTTGCACATAGGCGCGTGGAAGAGGCTTTCTGGGTAGGCCCGAGGAAAGGCAGAGAGGCCCCAGAACAGAGCCATACTGCCAAATATAATACTGCAATTGGAAATAAAGTTTTCTTTGACTTAAGTGTTCCTGACTGAAATGCAGATGAATGTGCTCGTCCCTTCGGTGAAAGCCTGATTCAATGGTGGAGAATCCTGCAGAGAAAGCTGATATTACAGCACTGGTAACAACTGCCTTCACTGCAAAGCAACCCAAAAAAGCATGACAGACTTATCAAACAGGCAAACTAGAAGAGATTCTGACAATAAACGGAATAAAACATGTCAATATCGGCAAAGTGTTTCAGAGATGGAGAGACACTTGTCGTAATAGTTTAGCTTTCTGCTAACTGGAGCCAAAGGCTGATTGCTGAGGCCTTATGTTTCTGTTTATGATAGAATAGACTGAATCACAGTGTCTCCTCTGCTTCACTGCCTGCAGCTACAGACCACCTCGCCATGAAGAGAAAGGGCAGCAAGTCTAGAGACCAACCCCGAGTCAGCAGCTTAATCCAGCCAGCACAAACCCCAGCTCCAGGGGACCGGACAGCCCTGACTTGCCGCTGGATCAGCAAACTTTCTGTTGCTGCAGTTACACATGTTAGACATGGCTCTGCGACTGGCCAGTAACAAATTGGACAAATTGAAGCTGCTAAAACTGCCTTCTAAAGTCGGTTACCAGGGCTGCTGCCCGTTCTCCTCTTATGAGGCAGTCCACAGTGGCAGGAAGAGACAGAGGTACCATGGGGTGGTTAGCTGGCTAATTCTTGTCTGTTTGTGGTCGGATATACAGAGAGTGAGAGAGCTTGGCAAAGAGGGGCTAAGCAAATGACCTGCATGCAACTCAGCAATGAAATAAGGTTAAATAAATCAATGTGGAGGAAACACTGGGTTACTGTATGCATATGCCCATGGTCATTTGGAGGGGAGGACGGGCTTAGGACAGAGAGGTGAGAGCAGCAGGAGAAGGGTGTATTGTCACATTGTGCCAGGTTTTTTTTTTTGCCCTTTCCAGATTTCTGCCTTCCCCAGCTTTAGTAAGTCTTAGTTAAAAACAAGGTAATTAACACAGTAAGCTAAATGAGATGTAAGCAGACGTAACAGTACTTAAATAGATAGGTTAAAAAGTTAACCTCTTTGAAATGATTTGGGAGCTAAATAGAGTCCTGAATATAAATAACACACATGAGCAGATGAGGTCAAAGTGTGGAGCTGTGCTCGGCAGACATACAGTACCGGCTTGGTGGATGTGGTGGGTGTGCAGGAGCAGTTGTCTCTCACAGCGTGGCTCCTGTAGTTGCTGTCTGTTTCTGCTGAAGCTACCCTGGGGAGTGGGGATAGGTCCAGTGTGTCCTCAGAGGAGGTGAGGGACAAGTCCTCCAGAGTATGTGTTCCTATTTTGGACGATTTTAAATAACATCAGCATCACGTAACTTTGGTTTATCTCTCTCACCCTCCATCCCTTGTATGACTGTTTGTTCCTCAGTGCTCCCCACTGTATGATAATCACTGTATGATAATGTGTACATTTTGCTAATTTGACCTTATATGCTAACTTTGACTTATCCAATGGTACTAGGTGCTGTTGCCATTCCTGCTGGGAGACACTTTACCTAAATGGCTGGTGGGTATCTTTTAAAAGTATATATCAGGACACGTCAAACACATTCTTGTAGCAGTTCAGCAGGTTGAAAATCAGTACTCAGTACTTAACTGCAGGTAATCATACTGTAACAACGAAGCCAATGCTATGTTACCAGTTAACTCTAAGTAAGTTAAAAAGACTACACACAAACTTAAAAAAAGAACTAAAAATTATTTTGCTTCCACTTCACTGATCATATTCCTTGCTTACCAGAGCATCTTGCCGTATGTAATGACTTACACAATGCTGTTTATTCAGATTTTAAATGCCCCCGACTTAGATTAAAGTTATCTGAACTAAGTTAAATCTTAATCATTGTCCTACTCTCTTTCTGCTCCCTGTCGTTGCGCATCATCTCCAGCGCACAGGGCGGCATAGCAGGCACATCAGTGTCACCCTGTTGGACAAAGGACCCCGTAAGAGCTCCTCATGCGACTCATTAAGTAAATTTTATGAATGCATCTGGAACAATCATTGCCCTACTGTAATCCAGGGGGTTTCTAGTAGCTCATTAGCTGACATGCGGTAGGCAGGGTCCTGCTTCAGAAGGCACGTCAATATATTTTTGGCTGTTAAAACAGACACAAGAGGATGAGTTTGTTAGTAACAAACAGGACAGTGAATCCGTATGCATGAAACATCCTGTACTGCTTGTCAGTGAAAAAACATATTCTTTCACTACATCTCACAAACACTTTTTTTGCAGGATTACATCTATTAACCATTTATTTTCAAGTGTCACCTGCATGGCTGACTGTGGCCCAGATGGGTTGAGTATATTTGACTTTGTTGTTGTTCATAATCTCCTGACGTAGGTCGGACTGCGATGTGGCTTTAAATGGAGGCTCCCCACACAGCCTATAAGGACACACAGCTCAGACATATGTATTCACAGAATGTGTGTGTATATACTTACGTACAGAATGTTTGTGTGTCTACTTACAACATAAACATAATGACTCCTACGCTCCACACATCACAACAGTGGCTGTAACCCCGACGGCTCATCATCTCAGGTGCTGAAATATAGCATATACACAAATGTATGACTTAACTAAGTATGAGATACGGACATTTCGCAGCTTAAAGGTCCAGTGTGTAGTATGTAGGGGCATCTATTGGCAGAAATAGCATATAACATTCATAACCATGTTTTCATTATTTTTATAATCACCTGAAAATACGAATTGCATTTTTGTTACCTTAGAATGAGCCATTTATATCTAAACAAGGAGCGGAGTTCACCATATTGTTCTACAGTAGCTCAGAATGGACAGAAAATATACTGGCTCTAAATAGGGCCATTTGCTGTTGTGTCAAACTTTGTAGTTCTCGTACATTCTTGGCACAAGTTTTAGTTTTGCAACCTCAACATCACTGGATGCCACTACATCCTTCACACCAGAACTTAAAAACTATTAGTTAAAACTAGTTTTTGACCATTAGAGGTGCCGCTCAGTAAATCCCATATTATTTGTATCATGTGTTCTCAGCACACTCACAAGAACACACTCGCACACCAAGACTACAGGAGTCATGTAGTATGCAGGGTGGTAATCCACAGCTGGTGGCAGTAATGAGCCACAAACGGGATTAACGCTTCAATATAAGTGGAGGAGGAGAAGAAGAGGACCGCAAGCCGCAACAATACCAGTTTCACAAACTCTGAAATCGTTGAAATTAGTGCACCACACAAGAAGTTCGTAGTGTACATAGTGTACTACACTGAAGTGTACTAATGGAAGTATGTGATCTGAGACACACTCCAGTATAGGTCAAAACTCTACAAGGTGCCTTTACATAATGATAAGTAAAGATGTATAACAAACCTGATACATCCCACATACAGACATAGAATTTGGGACCCCTCCCCAGTGATCAAACCATAAAAATAACATGGCAGATGGCAAAGCATGCTGCTACACCATAAAGAAATACTGGTGTCATACCCATATAGAGAAGAGTCCCACAGGCCTCCTGCATCATGTTCTCGATCCCTACACCACCTGTCTTCACCGACAGTCCAAAGTCTGTCACCTAGGTAGAGAATAGCAATCAAGGAAAAGGTGATACAAATAAACGTTATTTAGATATGCTGACAGAACCCACAGTAAATTCTTTTGTAGAGTAGTTTCTGTCAGGAAAACAAGGCTCGAGCTTGGGCATAAACAATGATCCTTGATGATTTACATAAATAGCAACATAGCTGTTAGGGCTACAGGTCCATGTACTTGCGCAGGGGTATCACATCATTACAAAAGTAAATAAATCCAGGAGAGAAGACCAACTCCTGTGAAGTGAAAGTCATTTATGCTGTGCCACGACAACACTTTCTGTCAACATGTACAGTATGTGGGTGTCTGTGTGTGAGACATAAACAGAAAAACAGAAAGAGACAGGAATGTTTACGCCGTGGTCTCGCCTTTTTTTTTAGCTCACACACCAGGTATCTGCTTTGGCTGGCTCATTGTCAGTGCACACAACATGCTGTGCTCAGCTGGTAATTTGTTTAAGGATACAGTTGAGTCTCTCTCTGTAAAGGTATACTACAGGAAGACCAGAGGGAGTCTGTCATAATGAGACGGCATTTAAAGCCTTTACCAAAAATACTGGAGATAGTGGGCGAAGAAAAAAGTGCCGATCAGAGGCTTGCACGCAGTCCGACAGAGAATGGATAAGAAGCGGTGATGGAAAGTTTCACAGTTTGTGTCGCCATCTTACCTTGATATTAATCCTGCCTTTATCATCCTCGCCGAGATAATCCTTCACAAGAATGTTCTCAAGTTTCAAGTCCCGGTGCACGATGTCTGTAAGATGTGAGGAGGGAAACTTTTACAGACATAATGAGTTTGAACACAGCTTTGACAGGGATGTGTGCTCTGCTGGGGAGTTTAACTACATTTGTCAGTAGCTTGCTGATAGTTCAAACACATTTATAATGTGGAGTGATTCAAGTAAATCACATTTTTGCCATTTTGTGTCATCAGAAGGAAGGGGATGACTTTTTATTTTCATTCCACCATTGTTTCTTTACTGTAACTGAACCCACTTTAACCACAATTAGTCAGAAGTATGTTTATTGTCGCTGTTGCATGCTTTTTTAGAGGTTACCTGGCTGAGTCATCCTGATTGGTGCAGTGCCAGACTCTAGTTTCTGATGGCAGGTGTCTGACTGATGGACACTGTATACAAAATCAAAGCTGACATTCCTGCACTTTCCCATCAGGAGTAGGTTATTTGATTTTTTTGGCTTATGTATGCCCTGTAAACAAGTGTGCACTTTTTGCAATAAATTCAACTGAGAGGCATTTAAGGATACAGTGAACCCTCAGTACAGCTACTGTCTGTACCAAGGGTACGTACAGAGTTTGGCAAGCGAGAATTTACGTAAGCAGCTCCTCATATGTGGAATCTTCTGCAGAAGGACTTAAAATTGCACTCGGCCATTTTAAAGCACTGTTGCAGGATTTTTGTACACAATCTTCTATATGCTAGTGTCACGGTGTATCTTAGCTGGTCTCTGTAATCATGTGTAGTTGCCCTTTTTTGCATTTTGTGGTTTACTTCTAGTATACATGAACATACTTTTTGTATTTTCTTTGTAGTTATCTTATTTTGTGTTTTATACTGCTTGTTTTACAGCTTTACATTTTTTATTCTGTATTTGTTGTCTGTCTGTAACTTATGTTGCTGCCTGTCTTGGCCAGGACACTCTTGAAAAAGAGATTTTTTTTCTGGTTAAATAATAAATTAAATTAAATTAAATGTATTCTGAAATGGTGCTTTTTTATATTTTGTTATAATTTAGTTTCACATTTTGATTTTTTTGATTTTTTTTTTTTAAGTTGTCTGAACTACTTTTTTTTTCAAAGTAGCTTAAGTAAACCAAACTAGATTTCTCCCTGGGGTAGTTTTGCTGTAGTTTAACATCTTCCAGTGTCAAGTAATTGGTAACTTGCAAAGCAATGCTTTAGTAGCCTCCCCAACACTGGATGTAAGTGTTGTTGTTAGTTGTTGTAATCAAAATTCATATCAATAATTTTATATTAACAATGGTGAAATGGGTGAAAAGGGGATGCTCACAGAGATGAAAACACTGAGAGGCATCACACAACTCTGCAGCTGCTGTGTTTCAGGTTTTCTCAGGTCTGTGTTCAGAGTTAAGTGCAACATGGTTTGCTAATGTCTGTCACCAGAATAAACATACAATATGTTTTCACCCACTAACACATTGATGTCTTTACCTTGCTTACAGTAGGCCAGGCTAAAGGGCCTCGTTAACAAAACTTGGAGTGAGAGAAGGCAGGAGGAAAAACACAATTTGCCCTGGGCAGTCCTTTTTACTGCACTGTTTGAAGCAGCCAATTATAAAAACGCAACAGTGTTGATGGTGTGTGAAAGGTAAGTTAGACCACCTGGTGTGCACAAAGCAAACACCTGAAAAAGCTCTTTTTTCCTTTATCCGTATAAGTTTGTTATTTCTGTTCAGTTTTACCTGTTTTATTGTCTCCTTGCTGGCAACTAAAATACACTCCTTAGTTCTGCAATTCTTTTGGTTATTCATTAAAATACTGCCAAGAGGACATCACGTCATAATTACCAACTATAATATGATTTTTGGTACATTATATTTCAGTAATCATCGCTCTGGTGACTCGCTGAGAAATCATAAAACAGTTGGATCTATATAACTCCAAATCCTAACAGCTGAATAAAAAAGCACCAAGAACAGCAAAAACATTGGATAGTTTCAGAAAGCCCAAACAAATTTAAGCTTCATGGTCATTTGACAAAAAGGTTCTGGCTATTCAAAGCCAGCGCTTTCTCATTAGTGTCATTAGTCTCTATAGAGGGCAGGAAACCAGCACAGAGGGACTTTCCATGTGAAAACACACCTATTAATCAGTATTGCTCCCTGGCTTGTTGTAAATTAGTCATTAACCACATGTAATGATGCCTCACTGCCAGGCAATGTCCTAAATTACCTCTAACCACAGATTTCACCATTAAAGGGGGAAACAACATTTCCAGTAAAATGTGGAGATTTAATTAAAATGTGTATCATATATTTTTTCACTTGAATTTGTTTATTAATTCTCTTTTATCAGAATGAGCCACCCGTCTTTAATGACTGAAAGCCTTAATGGTAAGGAATCTCACATCACTGAGGGCAACACAATTTCAATGTAATAATGCCACCATGGCACTATTATAACTTATCTGAGGCACACTTTATTCAAAACACAGTCTGAACCTGGCCTGAGGTGTTTTCCTAATTCCAACTGAGCACTTAATTATAAAATATAAAACACTCAAGACTAAAATTTAATGTAATATGACTTTGTCCACACAAAGTCATATTACTGTAAGAACATAAAGCCCCGTTTCCACTGTGAAAAGTTGTGGATGGTACCAATGGAACCGTGCCTTATCGTCCCCATTTTTGGTCCCCCCTTCTGTTGGGGTACCTAGCTCACAGATCTGGTATTAAAAGGAGGAGCTGTGAACACTGCAGTCTGTTGATTGGTCAATAGAGGACGGTCACTCTGCTCAGGGCTGAGTTGTGGCTGGTATTGAGACTTATGTAACCACTGTTCATACCGTAGAGTTTTCCATATATTATTAAACTAAAACTATGAAATGAAATGATGTTTTGCTGCCTCTCACAGCAGCTGTAGTCTGATTAAAAAAAAAAACTTAATTCACTGTGCCAACTGCTGGCGACTTTAAAGGTGGAGCGTTAACTTGTAATGTTACTCAATGCATGAGTTGACAACATGAATCCATCAACACACCTTAAATTCCACTTTAACCACTTTGACGATTACTTTAGTTTTTATAGGACATACACTTTTAATACATATTAATTTTGACCGGGATATGTGAAGAGAAATATTCTAATCCTTACTCGGGGGGAAAGTATCACAGAGCGTCATTCCTGTGGGCTCTGGCAACACTAAACCCCAGAGCTTGCCTGAGAAGGACTAAATGCACAAACCCGCTATTTTTTTAATATCCCATGAAGAGAGACTCTCACTGCAGTCTGTTCTATTTTGTTCAGAAAATGTCGGCGTGCAGCCTCGTTCTGTGGACGATAAACAAGGTGCAGACTTCCATCTACAGTAAGTGCTGGACAAGCAGTGAGTGACAACAACCCCGCCCACATGAAAGAGTACTGTTTGCAGTGAAAACGGGGCTGAAAGTAACTTAACAACAAGGTGAATAGCATTGTTTCACTTGTCTTCTGGTTACAAGTGTCATGTCTGTTGCAATAGTAACCACACCTGGGTGTTGCGTAGGTGTAGATTTCTCCACCCCACCCCAAAATAAAACCATTGAAGTAGCCGAGGACTCAGAAATTTCCACCATAAATTAGTGCTGACACACAAATGGGTGCAGAAAAATTCACCATTAAGCAGGAAAATCCTTCTTTGAGGAAGAACCCCAAGCCCCCCACTTCCTATGTGTCTACCCACCAGTGTTGAAAAAAACCTACAACCTGCCTACAAGACCTACCTCACCTGTAAACACCCCTATCAGTGATTTCTTAATGGAGGTCATCAAATATTAGATTTTCAGCTAATGTCAATGTATTTTATAACACTACCAAAATGTCAATCAATAACATGACAATGATGTTACCTCTTTTGTGAAGGTAAACAACAGCATCGGCTACGCTACAGATGACGTGCCTTGTCTCGTCCTCTGTGAGAAACTTTTTCCTCTGCAGCAGCTGCCTCAGATCACCTCCACTGCACAGCTCAGTAACCAAGTAAGTCATCTAAAAACAAGCACAAAGCTAAATGCATCTGACCACACAGTTTACTCCTGTCTTCTTATCAGTAATACTTCTGCAGAGAAACACAGTAATAGGAGATTATTATATGTCACATGCATTACATGTAATCCACTCTCTTAATTAGGCTTCTTTTTGACTTGAAGGATAGCAGTGCTCACCTTGGCCGTGTGGTAGACTTCCTGTAGATGAATTATGTGAGCGTGATTCACTTCTTTGAGAATGTTTAGTTCTTGTTCAAGCATCTTGGATCTCTGACTTCCTGCCTGAAGTGACAGAGAGTCACATCACAGCTGATTAAGTTTCATCATAGTTGTGGTTATTTGTTTCTCTCCAAACATTAAACTCTTATTAGTGCAAGTGTTTATCACATTAAAATACAGGCCTCCCAAAGGGATGCCAAATGCACTCACCGCTGGTCTGCAAACCTCTTTAATAGCCCATTTTGTCTGTGTCTTAATGTGGGTGGCTTCATAAACAGTTCCATAGCTACCGTGACCTAATTTTCTTCCAAATTCATAGATTGCCTATAAGGACAAGAAAGAAAACATGAATACATTTGTAATCTACGCGTGCTCACTGTCAATCAGAGACAGTAGAGGATTTCCCTTGAGCTCCTGTTTACGACTTTAGGATCATTTCACTGTTTTGGATTACAGAAACATTATGTCTTAACTCAAGACCTGAATTCTAAAGTACATCCTAATTTCAAGCTCTCTGGAAAAAAAAAACATTGAACATTTTCAGTCTCTGGAGGTGCAGAATGTAGTATTTCTAATCAAGTTACAAATGATTAAGTTGCTGTTGCAGTTCGTTCAATCTCAGGTCTAATTAACTTGATCATTATCTGCGTGCATGCAAGGCTGAGCACTGGCTGCTTCAGATTTGGCAAAGGGAGCAGTCGAATTCCCCACTGAAGGGGGACTATACAGCAGCAAAGTGAAGTTTGATCCTCCTCCAGTGCAGATAACAGTGTACTATAGAGGTCACCATTGAGTATATGTGACTTCTTCATCAGTGGTGGTCTGATGAAAGCTCCATGCAGACACAGGTCTGCAGTGGAAACATGTAAAGAAGCTTTCCATACGCGGAGGTCAGCATAGTCTTTCAGGCGTATTATGGGCACATTCCTCTCCAGTGTGTCCCTGCTGGTCCATGGGGACACCATGTTCATGCCCATTCCACTGACATAGACTTTTGTCATCTAGAGATAGAAGAAGAAGGCACTCATTATCGCTCTGAATTTTTTTGTCAGGCCATAGGACACAAGTCCATGAAAAAAATTCCAGAAATACTTTTCAAACTAGAAGGGCACCCAGAGAGCGCAGAACTCATTGGTCAATGGTCCAGTCTTCTATGATATGCAACATCTAGTCAATTAATTTATTAGTTCATCAGCAGAAATTTAATTGCCAACCATTTTGATAATCAAATTATCATTTAATATCTTTTAAGCACAAAAGCCAACGCTACATACATTATAAACTCGAATAGCTTTGCTTTTTTGGACAATTAATTGGATAAAATATACCATTTGAAGATGTCACCTTGGGCTCTGGGAAATTACACAGGATTACACAGCATGTTTTAATATTTTCTGGCAGTGTATTGACAAAACGATTGATCCGAAAATAATGGGCAGATTAACCGATAATGAAGATTATTGTTAGCTGCAGCTCTAATGCAAATCATTAAGTGAAACCACTACACAGGCCTGTGTCTGGATTTATTTCCAAAACTTTACCAATCATGTAAACATATGGTTGTGCCCAGCTAAAGCCTTGTCATTCCAGCTGTGCATTTATTATATACTTCTAATTTGCAATCAATATTATGCATGTTCTTGTTAAGCATAAAGTCCAAAAACTTTTCCATAATATCTCAGGTTAAAGTTTTTTGCATACAATTCACATTTGTCTGTGAGTAAGACTTCAATTAGTTGCATGATGTGTGTATTTACATTTTCACGTGTAGCAACCGTAGACTGTATAATAAAGCTGGACGACACGACAACTCGTCATCATGATCACCCCCTGGTGGCTGGCTGCAGTTTCCTGATAAGATTGGTTTTAATTAGTTATTTGGTGCTATAAAAGAGGATTTGACGTCATGACCAACAAATGTGTGTGGTAATCAATGTGCTCACGATCTATGGTGCTGTTCGTACTTAATGTTTGGATGAGAACTCGACACCAGAGATCGCTACTGCACAGCGATCTCTGGCCATATCTACAATATTCTGGCTTCATTTTTATGCAGTGGGGGTAAGAAGAGATGTATCGTCCATCCTTATATACAGTCTATGGTAGCCAAACCTTAGTTTGAAGAAGAAGGGAAAAAAACAGAGTGTCCCATACTGATTGCTTCCTATAAATTTGAGCAACTGTATGTGAAGGCTAATCTAGAAGATTACTGGTACCAATATGGATTGTGATATGAAGTCATTGTGTCGTTATGTTTCATTGACTGGATTTAAACATGTACGGTATTTACTAAGACCAAATGCTCTGTCTTGCAATGTTAACAGAAGTGAGACATCATTTGTTTATCCACCCCATGATTCCAGTCTATTCCAAAACATAATTGGCCTTTCCTTGGCCCATGCTACACCCAATAACCTAGAATCAGGCCAGCAGTTTCTCCATAATCCTGCTGACAAACAGACAAACAAACAACCCGAACCATCCTTGGCAGAGATAATAGAACTGCCTTTCTCTGATTTGTTATTATAACAGAAAAATCTGTGCAGCTGTGGAGAAGGACTTCTTAAAATCAAGTTTTTATTCAAGATCAACACGCGTTAGTGAATACTGCATCGTTTGCATTAGTGACCGATTGCTACAAGGACATGCCCAACATTAAAAAAGGACTATTCGACCAAACATCTCCTCGTAAACCAAAGCAAGTCAGTCCAACTGTGATTCTCTAATTACTTAGTGATGCAGTTTACCATCAATTCTAATCATCAGAGCTTTTGGCAACTCAGTACAATATCCCAAAGGCCTTACATTTACAATGAACAGAACAAAGCAACTATCATGAGTAGAGTACTATTATTAATTGTCTTTTATCCTTACCGTGATGCATTTTCTGACATTTGACTAACTGTTTCAGTATCATTAATGCTAGTTTCTTAAGCTTAATTTACCCATATTGAAGACATTATTTTTAAATCAGTTCATTTGTTAGTGTTTTAAAAAAGTTAATAAATAATTCAAGAAGTTTCCACTTTGAGAAGCCGTGTACAGCACTGACTCTTTACTTCCTCTGGTCTAACTTGTCACTTCATGACCAAACTGCTGTCTCTGTCTGAGCCCATATTAACTTTAAGCACAATTTACCCAACTTGAAAAACAGTATCTAAAGCCAAATTAAATGTAAAGCAATTATCAAGTGATGACTGGGAGCGATGAAGTGGATCCACCACATGCACAGCAATTAATTATTAACAAGGAAGCGGTGTCTTTAACCTCTTCACTCTGATGCATTATTTTAGCCCTGACAGGGCTCTCATAACAGGCCTGTCTCTCCCATTATCTCCCGTCTATTTTCCAATCAAAACGATTGTGACAGCCTCTGGAAATTCCAATCACCTCAATCACAGCTCATTTGTGGAAGACAGAGGCATCTGATGAGTGTATCACTGGGGACTTAGTGGCTGGAGGAGTGAGGTCCTGTGCATCTCAGGTGTCTCCAAGACAGATGTGTCCGGTCCTTAACCCCAGATCCCCGATGCAAGGGAAACTGGATATCAGGGTCAGGTCAAGGTGAGAAGTCTGACCTTATAAAGGGTTACAAATACACACACAGGTCTTAAATTGCTTTAAGCCTGGGCTTGTCTCTGGACCTGTGATTCTAACACTACAAGTCAAACTACAGGTTAAAACATAAAAAAAGATTACTTACTTGTTTCTGTTTTTTAACTTAATGACTTCAAATGCTTTAACTGTAGCTTGCACCTGACCACAAAGCCAAATTAAGGGCTGCAGGAAGACAATCAATCCAGAAATGTTCAGACTTGGCATCCAATGCACTCAAGATTACTGCATTTGAACCCTGATCAATATATACAGTGCCTCTACCTCTACAGTCAAGTTTAAAAAAGTCTTAGAAATTGTACATGCTACTGAGAAAAGCTACAAATTCTTTTTATCCACCAGTAACTAAGCAACTTCACCAAGAGAGCAAACTGTAACAGGCAAGAGTTTCCTGTTATTCCTCCCAAATCCCACCACTCTTCGGTGAAGCTGACCTAAACTACACTCAAAAATCGCTAATGCAGTGACAAGGACACAATCCTTTTCTGGCTTGCAACTTGGCCGGTTGTGTTTGTTGCATGACCAAATTGCTGGAAACAAAAACTCTCAGCAGTGGTGGGTAAGAATAGAGCCGCTGTGCCACCTGTTCACCTAAAATGCCTTCCATTAAGCCTAAATTCTCGGCCCAGGTACCAGTACATCAGCAGTACTAACATGAAATTTAGAAAAACCTATCTAAAGTGTTTAAATTCCTCTCTGTTGACTTGATTAAGTCAGAGAAACATATAGTATTATCATATTCTGTGTGTGAATCTCTGTTTTTTGATCTCTACACATTTGGGGGACTGATCCAAGCATAAATGATTAAAATAAAAACTTAATCATAGACAGTAGGAATTAACAGTGTCAAAACATAATGGTCTTTGTTCACTGGCAGACATGTGGAAAGATGAGCAAACATCAGTACACACCCCGACGCCAAGCAGACACAGGCTGTGGTTCACCTTTTACATTGAGTTGTCCTCATCTCCAGTTTCAGCAGGAAGTAATTAGAGCCAACAGTTCATCACAAGTCAAGCCCATTCCTGCCTCAGCCCTCCATCATTCTGTTAGACAGCAACTTGTGTTTATTTACACTACTGAGTGAACAAATATGGGTAGGGCCTAATGACTGGGAGTGTGGGGGATACTGTCTAAGAACACAAAATCAATGTCACTTTGGAACAATGAGAGCATGAACATACAATGGATGACTCTGATCCTGTGTAACTTTTCTTCCCTTAAACTTGCTTGTTGTTCATTAACTCAGGGTAATACATATTTACTCTGTCCTCCACCCGTATAGTCAATAAGTCTGCTACTAGCCCTAAGAGCAGTGATACTCAACTTATTGTCCAAGGGCCAGATTAGGCCTGTGAAAGGGTGCCAATGGCCCACCATTTTCTAATTCACAATAACATTAACTTTCAATCAGATCAGATTTGTGCATCTAAATATCACTAACCTAACTGCATAGATTACTGTGGTAATGATGTAGGCTTCAGTAACTACGTAGCAACGCTGGTGATGTGACTTTCCAGCAAAGAAGCATGAGAAATGGGGCCCATCATTTTGCCCTCCAAACTATTTTGGAATCTGTCCAAAATACTGTTGGTACACAGGTTGTCCTCTTTCGCGCTCTTCTAGGAGCAGCATGGATCTGCTCAGCACTTCCGTCACTTTGATTTGACGTCATCATTGCATGCTGTGTTCAAAGACACTCTGACATCCAATTTGAGCAGCCAGAGCATTCGGGCTGAGACGCACCTGTAGAAATCCAATTGGAGTCGCATATCAAACCACCTCCAAATGTGGTTTGCAAATATCCCATTCCATGTGTTTGTTTTTTTGCTGTCCACACTTCATAAAATCAGTCTGGATACAATCTTGATACAATCTGGATATGCCCAAAAAATGATTGTGGATGGCAGTCAGTCTGCAGTGTTCTTTACGTCCTGCACTGTGGAATAGGACAAAAACTATTCTGACAGTGTTTCATACATGGCAAATGCTGGCATATACGACAGCTGTGACTGCTGTCAATTTATATCTTTCTCTGTGCATTGCTGCTGTGAACTGAGTCTTGTCCCCATGCTGTGCCAGAAACAAATTCCACCAACTTGTGGCAATTTAAGTGAATTGACTGATAATTAATTGTCTCTGTCATTTATCAAGAAATAAAAAGAACTGTTTCAGCTTTTTGTAGATTTTCTGCTTTTCTCTGTTTATAAAATTGAAAACATTTGACTGCTGTCTGGCCAAACAAGAAATGTAAAGATATCTTCAGCTTTGGGAAATGATGGGCCTTTGTCAATATTTCCTGAAACTATATAGACTAAATGGTTAATGGATTAATCGCAAAAATTAGACGCATTAATTGATGATGGACATAATCATTATTTGCAGCCATAATGCTGTTTGTAAGCAGCATTCACAAGTAAAACAACTGCAGCATACCAAAGTCAGTAATGCTGTGTCCCAGAAAGAAATGGAATATGCTACTGAAACCAGCACGTCAAAACATTTACCACTTTTCAATCTCAACCAGACCATCAAGATATTAGACATTTCAATTATTGTACAGGGCCTTTGCTTTCTTTGATGGAATAAATAGCAGAATAAATTAGGCTTAAGCAGCTCTCTAATGACGGTGCCTCAAGCTGTAACAGGCAGCCTCTAAAATACAGCCTGAAAATCAAACAAAAACAAAATCTTACTTACTGCAATTAAAATGTACACTGCTATCCGTTTTGCTTGAGCCCAAATATTACATTTTCCTCATGTGAAACTTAATCATTTATTGACAGCTTGGCTTTGATGACAAATGATAAACTTCACAGTCCTAATGAAGCGTGGAATTACATTACCTGATGAGGCAAGAAATTGCATGTTTAGAATGCAAATATAGCTAGAGCCCGTCTACTCCACTAAGTTATGAGGTGACTCCTAATATTATGCAGAGAGATTATCAAAGCTTGTGGTCTAAATGTAATATACCAAGAGGAACACATCGACATTAAGCCATTAAAGCATGCAACGGACTTACTAAAGAGCTGTGAGGATATACCAGACAGCTGCAGGACTGGCAGAAAGGAGGTGCTTTATGTTGCTATTCCTACACTTAACAAGCAAGCAACGTCAAGGCATGTAGTGTCCCTATAAACAAATCATTTAAAGGCCGCTCCAAGAATTCCTTCTGTCTCCAATGGTCATGTTTGATAAGTGTCTACTGGCAAGAAAACATGCTTTGCCAAAAGGAAGGAAAAGATCAAATTCTGCCATTTGCTCAGAGCCCTCCACATGTTGCTATGAGATAAGGGCCAACAAATTCAAATTTTCTCATTGGTTTAATCCTGGTTAAAGCTAATCTCTGCCCTTGCTGGGCTCAGCCTTGGGAAGCTAGGAGGGCAGACATCTAGAAAAATGTAGGCCATAGCAGAAACAAGAACAAATCAAATTCATTTCAATGACAACCCAGAGAGAACTCAGCACATTCGTATCAGAATACACATGTTGACACCTTCAGTTATAAATCATTCATTGTCAAACTGCCAAGCTGCTCATGTTGACGCTCTTCACTAAAAATTAACCAGTTAGAACAAAAGATGCAGGACAACCTAACATTTATCAAAATTAGAATTTGTTTTTGCCAAGTAGCGCTGTTGTAGTACTCAAAGTTGGTCCTAGTCTTAAGACCACTTTTTGAAGGTCTTGGTCCTGTCTCAGACTCTATCGCATTCTTACTCATCTTGACCTGGTCTCAGACAAAGAGGAGCCAGGATTTTATTTCATAATCTGTCAAGACCACAACTGCCTAGATATCACTAAATTGTCTGTGCAAAAGAAGAATGTTGAATAAAGATGGTTAAGTTGATTTGAGTTCCCTAGTGTTTGTTGTATTTGTATGCTCATAAAAAACAAAGGAAAATTCCCGCACATAAACTTGACCTCTGCATTGATTGTTGGTTAATTCAGCAAAACAATTTTCATGATACTTATACATACAGCCATACAGGATATATGGCAATAAAAGAGGTGAGTGAATAGGAAACTTCATTTGTTTTCTGTGGGTGTTTTTATGGGAACGTTGATCCCATCATGTTACACATTTTTCAAGTGTGACCTGAAGAGTCAGAGTCGCACTGGTCTGGTCTTGGTCTTGTCTTGGTCTCGAAACATTTAGGTCTTGGTCAGTGGCATAAGGAAGTTACGAAGGGCCCCAGTGACACTATATGATGGGCCCTAGTGCACGCTATCATGCATGTATTGTCTTGACACAAAAAAGACTTGCCATCTATAGCAAATGGCACCATTTTTAAAATTAGGGACATTCTTTTTTATCATTCTTCTTTGAACACAAATATTAAAGGAATCTGAATCACTTGTAAGGGCCCACTCTCACTACGAGCCCCTCTACCCCTCAGCCCCCAGGGCAACCGCACTACCTGTACTGTCCATATTTACACCCCTGGTCTTGCTCATGACTTGGTCTCAGTTTAGGTGGTCTTGACTGCATCACTTCCAAGTAGGTCTTCACATACAAGTAATAGACCTTTTTCATGGCAGATATTTTTAGCTTGTCGCCATAGGAAAAGCACAGGTGTATTTAATAACATTAATGATAGCTGCATTCCATTTACGGCAGGTCCTGGTATTGTGTATGCTGGCTCACTGGAATAGCTTAGTGGCACACTTAATGGAACTGAGCCATGGTTAATATTCACTTTCAACCGTGCTTTTCCTACAGTGGCAAGTCCACGTCTGCTGCGAAAAATGTCTATTTACTTTGGCGTATTGTTACATAACATACTGTAAAACTTCAATTAAAAGCCTTGTCCCAATTAAACGCCCAGTCCCTATAACTAGCCTGGTATGGCTACACATTGATAAATACAAATACATGCCTGTCTCAATTAGGTAGATGCCTGGTCTGGTTGCCAAGCGGTTCATTTTTGTTATAGATGCCCTTCAGATGTACAAAAGCGGGTTGCTGGGTACCTCAAATTTTGTATCCATTTCTTGATTACCCTTATTCATATTCCTTTAGTCCATAAGGGTCCTCAGATTAAAAGGATCAAAGGGGTTTTCATAAAATGTATCCAAGTTGTGAATATTGTTTTAACAGGGTGAAGTGGTGTTGTGAGTGCTGTAACTCTCTCTCTCTCTCTCTCTCTCTCTCTCTCTCTCTGATGCACTGTCTGTCTGAGCTAGATCAGATGAATGATTCAATCTGAATACTAAGTTTTACATGAGTAATATTCATACTGGTTTAAATTAACAATTTGATTGGATTTCCAAATCTTTGCCGAGCAACACTTTTATTTGAAAGGAATTAAAGGCCTGTCCCATATAAACACCTGTCCCAAATATAGGCCCACTGATTTCAGGGATTTAAGCAAATAATAGCTCAGGCTACTAATTTAAGTTTTACAGTAAACATAGTAAAAGAAAAGCAAGTGTTGCAAAAATCAAGAAACATAAGTACAGAAGAAAGTTATAATAAAGAATATGAAAAAAACATGCACAATATATTTGAATTAAAATGACCAAGAAATTAACAGAGGTTTACAGCACAAATACGACTCATTTATGACACACAATGAGGCTCAAAAATTCAAAACTAGCACTGTACTTATGCTTGAAGCCTTTAGACAAACTGACATGGACTGCTCTTTGCTACTGTAGCAGTGACCTAAACTAATAAGGGTAGTCAGTTAACTTGAATTGGTCAGTGAAGGCATCTTCCTGTTATAAAATGTTCTAAATACTCTTGCTGTTAGCGTTACAGTTAATGGGAATTATTGTGCTTTTAAATTCCTCACATAGTTAAGATAACTCTCTACCACATGAGTAAAGCTAATAATTTTACAGATAAGTTAGCTAATTAACGCCTATTTAAATGCCAATACATGTACAATATAAAGACGACTGATTAACGGCCACTGTGTCGCTGTTCATCTTGTAACGTTACAACAAAATGAGTTAAAGTTACTGTTGTTGAGAGATAAAACAGCGCAGAAAGCTTTAAGTCATTTTTTATGTAAGCTAACATTTACCCCATGCCACACGTTGTCATGGCAACGAAACATGAAGTCGTACAAGCGTTGCCTTTAACTGACAGGTTAAAAAAAATAAAAAATACACACGTGAATGTGCCTTGTGTAAAATGTGACTGCTGCTGTTGGAAGATTCAAGAACAATTTCCTACCTCTCAGACTCGGTCACATTCATTTTGTAGGTTCGCAGCGCCAAAACTTTTTCGCTTTATACTTCCAACTGACCCGTTGTTACATTCTGCTGTTTAAATAAAGGATGTGAAAAAAAAAAAAATCACGAGTGACTAGGGAAAGCGACGAGGGACAAACTTGTGATGACTGAGCAGGGCTTCGTCTCCTTCAGCGACTGTCAGGGGTTTGCAGCGCCCCTGGTGGCTCGTGTGTTGGCCGACGTGGTGTACACCGTATTTAAGATTAACGTGAGCACGACAGGACTGTGACCGAATTTACAACGTGCACAATAACCGTAAATTATCCTTTATATAAACGAATGGGGAGCTGAATGTTCCCCTGTGGTATCCTTGATATTCCCTGGTCCTTAGTCTCCATCTAGTGGACAAAACAGGAGGGTTTGTCTGAGTTAGTGTTCTTTTTTTTTTTCTTCTTTTTTTTTTTACAATTAATTTTAGAACATTTCCTTCTCATTGTAATTCACTTTAAACTACACTCTCTGTGTGAAACGTGTGTTATAAATAAAGTTTATTATTATTACTATTAATTTAACCTTGGTTATTTGTATAGAAATATCATAAAGATAGAACTTTGCAGTTTATTTGCAGTTTATCAGCTGTAGTCACAGATTACCAATTAAGTATATTCATAAAATACGATTTTTAATAATTATTTGGAAAACTAAATGGCATTATAAATGAAAGGTTAAGAATAAGGGGTGCGTTCAAACAATTTATTTTTATAATTAAAGCAGCTCTGAAAGCAAACTCTTTCTCTTATGCTCTATTGTTAACTCAGCCAGACATCAGCATGTGTACAGATATTTTTCATGTTCTCACCAGCTTTTATCTCCAAAGGTCTGTTTTCTCCGCACTTACAGGAAAATTTAGAATTCAATTTCCTGTAACATCAAAACTACTGCACAACTTTTCCCAAATGTCTTTGTAGATTATTGCACTCCAAACTCAGAACAGATTATTTTTTTATTTATATTTTATTTTATTTTATTGCTGCTTTAATACTCTTTGGTTTTCATTTAATTGTTTTGAATAAACTTTATTATTTATTTGTTCAGACAGTTTTTACGTTGTTTTTTTTTTTTTTTGTTATTATATTGTTCCTTTTCCTAAGAGTTTGGAACAACAGGAAACCTACTGAAACAAACTGTTTTAACTGAGTTAAGCTCCAGTTCCATTTGTGTGCAATTTAAAGCATTAGAGGGGCCTCTGTAAATCTTTAACCTTAAGTCTTATTTGGACAGCCTGAATTTTAATGTCTGCTTCTCAGTTGGTCTACTGGACAATTGAACTGAAACATTTAAGCTTGACATGTGGCCTCAGTCTGGATTTATATCCTTAAGAAGAACACTGACATTTTAATGTATCTTTTTTTCTATGTAAGATCTCATTCCATTTGGGCCCCCAGTACCTCAGTGGTCAGACCAGGCAGCCCCTGTACAAAGGCCTTGTCCTTGCGGCAGCGAATGCGGATTCATTTCCAGCCTGCAGTCCTTTTGCTGCATGTCATCCCCTCTTTCTCCCCATTTCATGCTTTAGTCTGTCCTGTCTAATAAAGGCAAAAAAAAAAAAAAAAAATCTTTAAAAAAAAAAAAGATGTCATTCCATTTCCTTAAAACTGATATTTTGAAAAGCTCAGCATGTCCAGATATTTGTTGACCAATAGACATGACTGTCCTTTAGCTACATAGCCTACTATACATTACAATTAGTAACCACTGATTTCCTCCATCAGACAGACTTCCGCCTTTTACCAAAGACATTATTGATGGCTTTGTCAATGGACTTGGAGCCACTGTATTGTCTGCGGTCTGCACGGTGCTTAAGATTCTCCATCACATGACAAATGACTTTTGTGAAGAGGTTGGATACCTCCGAGTATTCCTCTGCTGCAGACACCTCCTGGAGGTGGAAGTGTTCTCTCTGAGTGTTTACGTTGGTTTTCACTTGGTGTTAGCTGGAGGTTGTGTCATGGGAGTCATTAAATGGTTCCAGTGAAATGCAGACAGACGATGTAATGCAGCAAAGACATTGCCCCTGACTGTGTCCTCCTTAATTGTTTTAAATCTTTCTTACAATATGTTGGTAAAAGAAATGCACCATTCAAGGAACCTTAATCTTCTTTTTGCAAAAACCCTAACCAAAATAAGTGTTCTTATCTACATTTTATCCCATTTCAATTACCATAAAAGTTTTTATAAAGTGTTCAGGGATTATTTATCTGGCTAATGAACTTGGAGGAGCTCTGAGGGTCTGTTCCCCAAAGATACAGCCTGAATCCAAAATCAAAAGGCCCTCAACACAGCGTGATGGGTTCATGTAGATTCTGTTTGACTACAAAGTGAAACTATACTTCACACAGGGATACTTCTGCTCATCCCAGTCCAGCGTGTTGGAATGCAGTCCTTAACTTGCAGCATGCCACATTGATCCTCACCTTGATAGGCCTACATACATTCATCTCAGGAATGGGACTCATTAGCTCATCAAAGTAAATCCCTCAGCTCGGCTCCACTCCCAGCAGACTACGGTCACTCACCCCTCACAGCTCCCTTTGATCTGCAGCGGGATGCTTTTGGCGTTGAGGAAGGACAGTCGGTCAGCGATGTTGTACACCACCACAAATCCATCTGCCCAGTTCACAGGCTCCTCTAGGATACACCTGCTGCTTCCACTCTGACACAGCAAAGATGGGACGCGGAGATCAAACACAGCACATCGTCTATCAACTGATCTGAGTGCAGAAGCTATAAAAGTTTTATACATGAGATACTTCATGGGTTACTTTTTCTCCAACCTACTGCAGAAACAAAAAAATGATGAGAAACATGGTGAGACATTTGCCAAAATAAACAAGAGGGGGGCCAAAGGAGCTGCAGCACAGTCACAGAGCTCCTTTTGTATGAGACTCTGGAGCTTTGCAGTCAATAGAAAGTAAAAACTTTGGTGGTAAAGAAAACCATGTGTGCTCCCTGTAAACATATTCTGCTGCGTGTGCTCTCATCTATAGGGTACTACTCTAAATACCTTCAAACATAAATTCAGTATCACAACATATTATGTGAACATGGATCAAATATTTCCAAGTGGAACTTCCTTTTATGCTACAAAGAATCTGCAAGTTTGCTATAAAAGGTAAGATATGCTGTGAATCCAGTCTGAACCCATAAACGTTAATGCAAGTGGAGAGTTCAACACAGTCGATGAAAATGCACAAAGCTTCCTTATGAGAGGCAGTGAACGCAGCGTGGTGCCAGTTTAGTCAAACTATGGAACAATGATTACTCTAATTACTGTGCTGCATGATTGCTCATAGGGGGCAAACAAGCCAATTAATTTAGAGCAGAAGTGAAGAGGTTTGAAATTGTATACCCCTCTGCAAACTGTAATTCTATTACAGTCATCCAGTCTGTAAGATAAACACTGAGCGCTGGTGAAATGTGCACATCGCTGATTTCAAACATTTGAAAAGGACGGAAAAAGAGTTTTTGTTGAGTCACGTTGAATTGATATAACGTAATTAGTGTGAGGCCAAAAGAGACACAGTGGAAAACTCATGAGAGGAGTATACTGTATGATACGGTATCTTTCTATGATATAACAGCATTACTGGTTTAATGAGTATATTTACATACTGGCAGTGGAAACATTACTCTCCAATAAAATGTTTTGTCAGGAATCTCAGCAGAACAGCTGGGGCAAATGTGAGAGTAAGAGAGAGAGAGTCCATATTGTATAACACACTATGATGTAATACAAACCTAGACATTTGAGATTTGACGTTTGTTCGGAGACTTCATCAAAGGTGAGTATGTGTCTTTATGCTGCTCATCTTTGTGCACAGACAAAAAATGCACATTGTGCATTAAATGTATTGACATACTTTTAATAAAACAGCATTTCTGAAATGAAATATATCAAATAATGTATCTGTAATAATGCAGAACATTAAGAGTTTTTGCCACTTATCAGAAAAGTGTTACATTTCTTCACACATTTAATATCAGAGTATAAAAGGAACACACTGAATGTCTTTTTATTTCATTGTATTTTGTCATATGTCTATGATGATCACACAGTACTGATATAGCTACTGATATTAAGCTATATATTAAATGGGGCAGCACAGTGGTGTGGTGGTTAGCACTGTCACCTCACAGCAAGAGGGTTCCTGGTTCGATTCCGGGTGGGGGATCCCTTCTGTGTGGAGTTTGCATGTTCTCCCTGTGTCAGCGTCGGCTTTCTCCAGGTGCTCCTACTTCCTCTCACAGTCCAAAGACATGCAGGTTAACTGGTGACTCTAAATTGTCCGTAGGTGTGAATGGTTGTCTGTCTCTATGTGTCAGCCCTGTTATAGTCTGGCGTCCTGTCCAGGGTGTACCCTGCCTCTCGCCCAATGTCAGCTGGGATGGGCTTCAGCACCCCATGACCCTCAAGAGGATAAGTGGTTAGAAAATGGATGGAAGGATATATTAAATGATGAATTGATGAATTTTTCACTAGCAAACGTCTTGCAATGGGATCACCATACATAAATTTCCTCATATGAGGACATCCCAATTTGGATTTACTGCACCTTATACTTCATTCTGCTTAACTTAGACCTGTCTAGTGGTAGCAAAAGCACAATGCACTAATCGATATAAAAACAAAATGGCAGCCATCTCTGCCAAGTCAGTCTGCAGCTGATCCTGACACAAAAGTAGACAAGGTCAAAAACCTGATCACAGTTTATGTATGAAACTTGTTCATTTATGATTGATAAGGTTTGTAGTTTGATATGGCAACAAATTTGACCAATTTTAGCAACAGTAACAAGCAAGGACACTGTTAATTAGAAAGTACTCATGTGAGGACACTGGGACTTTATTATCAATGACAATGTTTAGTTTTTTTATACTAAGTAGGTCCTACTAATCCCAGATAGCTAGGAGAAATTGAAAATGCATACCAAACAAAAGTTCAGCTCTCAGGAGGATATGTATCCCCCTACTTCCATTGCTATTGCTCAGACCACACCTATCTTGGAACTTGACCTTCATT